CCTATCCTTGCCATCGCCACTCCGGCCCCTAGACCCCGACCTACCACCCTCCCCCGCCCTTACCTATTCGTCTTCCACAGTGTTTGCCTAAAGTATATATTTTTTCAAAAATATTTTCTGCTACCTAACCAAACACCAAAAAATAAGTAAGAAAATCACTTATTTTCCAAGAAAATGCTTTTCAGAAAAACATTTTCCTTCACGCAAAACACACCGCTTAACTCTTTTGTTTTCACTCTAGATTTGTATTTTACTGAATTACGTGAGACTTAGTGTTGGTATTCCCTGAGCATGAGGGATAACTACTAGAACAATATTAGGGGTTGAGACCCTCAGACTCTGGAGCGCAAGCTCAAACGATCTTCATCAGCTGGCCTATTACTCAAGCTAATATGTCAGTGCTATACGATAATTCCAACGGTTTCCTCATCGTCCCATCCTTCCTCTATCGCTATGGAACTTCTGATGGAAGGATAGTCATAAAAGAGAATATTAATAACAGCATAAGTTGCTTTTTCTAAAGAAAATAGACTATTGCTACTTATTGAAATTTTATCAATTCTACTCTTCAGTCACAAATACTGGAAGCACTAGGAGCTGCTGTTGAAAGGGTCAGACCGGTTTCTATCACACACCGAGACCATTTTGTTAATATTGCAAGAAGAAGGGCACTGGAAGCAAGTGAATTAGCATCAATCTGCAGAAATGAAAACCAAATCAATGGCAATGATTCTAGTCAAATCAATGATCACTCAATCAGTGAGGAAAAGCAGAATATGAACTTCTCACGTGAATACAAGGGTGGGTTCTTTGCGGATCAGTTTGAAAACCTTGCAAATTTCAGGTCACATTATGAGGGCACAGGGCCAGAGATTTGGGAACAGACAGGTGGCAAGTTGGATGCTTTTATTGCTGCTGCAGGTACAGGTGGCACTGTTGCTGGTGTTTCCCAGTTTTTGAAGGTTGGTTCTTATTCTAAAGTTTCTCATTTTCCACTGCTATGTGATGTATTATTAACTCCTGTATGATCAACAGGAAAAAAACTTTAATGTCAAATGCTTTCTTATTGATCCTCCTGGCTCTGGTTTATTCAACAAAGTAACAAGAGGAGTGATGTACACACGAGAGGAAGCTGAAGGACGGAGACTGAAAAACCCATTTGATACAATAACAGAAGGAATTGGAATAAATAGAATAACTGAAAACTTTAAGCTGGCAAAACTTGATGGAGCTTTCCAAGGCACAGATATGGAAGCTGTTGAAATGTCCAGGTTCGTTCTTGCTCTTGGTCAACTACTCGTTATAGTATTTTCTAGTTATACAAATGTTACTATGCAGATTAATGTGTTAAAAAAGTGTTACCTACCCCTTTCTAGGCTTCTCTGACAAATAAAGGTGAACGCGTCAAAAGAAATGATAAGATTTTGCCCTAATCTACCAAAACTTTTCCACCATTTTGGTCACCTCAATGAACAACTCTTCAGAATTTGATTAGTTTGTTCTGCAAAGAATTGTCTACATGAACCTGTGTTGAAGTTAACTGGTCATATGACTCACAGGTATCTGTTGAAATATGATGGCCTATTTGTTGGAAGTTCTTCAGCTATGAATTGTGTTGGAGCTGTCCGAGTGGCCAAGGCACTAGGTCCAGGGCATACAATTGTGACAATCTTGTGTGACAGTGGTATGAGACATCTGAGTAAATTCTACAATGCTGAATACCTATCTGAACATGGGTTGACACCGTCAGCAACTGGTTTGGAGTTCCTTGGTCTCAGTTGATTTATAATTGGTTCATGATTAAAAAACAATTACATCATAGTCCCAAACAAGTTGGGGGACTAAAATTATTTAATTCAATGACAGCACTTAGGTTCATATCAGGGAGGAAGTTTTTCATTTCAAATGCGGGAGCAACCTTGAGTCAGATATAGTACCATTTAGAAGCCGAGCTAATGTTGTATATACTCTGCTAGAGAATTTTTTTTGACAATTTAACTATATACCTTTCGTTTGTTTATGACAAAGAAGTAAAGAGAGGCCTGTGTGTGTACTTGCATGGATCATATTCGATGATTCAGAAATTAAGTTTAAGCCAGTTGCAATCGCAATAGTTATGCTATTCTCATCTGTCCCCTCTGAAGGCTGAAGTTCGGATTCATAAATTAAAGGAAAAAATGAAACTGCTCTCCTGGAATCTTTTTTTTTCTTTTTTTGTTGATGAAAGTAGGTGTCTCGACCACTTGTGTGCACCTCGCAGTAGGTATTAGTTAACTCTATCCACTAAGTCTTGAACATATAAGAAACAATCACCAGTATTTTTGCCTCCGGGATTTGAACACTAGGCCACACCCTTGAGTACATTGCTCTCCTGGAATCTTTTAGCCTATGATCAATGATTAACTGCACAAACTGGTGTAAGCAATTGTTTTAACCTATTTTTGCAATGTTTTTTCAAAAGAAATTTTACTTTTTAGCTTCTTATTTAGTAGGTGTGGTTCATACAAACCCAAAGTAATTAGGAGATCACAAGACAGTGGATATAAGTAATTTTAATTTCATGTGTTTCCAGTTGCAAAGACCACAAAAGATGGTACTTTTGGACTGTTGAATAGATTCGAACAATTTAATTTGGTACGAGCGTTATGGACCCAATTAAAGAACTTTATCTTCAATCAAGTCCCTCTAATTTTTTTTGTTTAGATTCTCGCCAATGGTGTAAGAATTAATGGATGGCGGACAAGGCAGTTAACATATCATCGTTTTTCTCTATCAGGGTTGGAGACTCTTCCAACTTCAAACACTGCAGTAATGAAGCAACCAAATCATGGGGAAAACACGGGGTTTCGTCAATCTTTTTCCATAAAGAGTTAAAAAACAACAGCTACCATCCAACACCAAGGATCTGTCCTTGGCAGCAAGAAGTAAACCATAAGAAGTTCCCCCATTGTTCTGTTTCACTGTTTGCAAGGTTCCAAGGTGAAATCTTTACATTTTATCCCTTCATGTTGATTTAAAAACAAAGCAAAGAAACAAAAGCTTTTACCCAGTCTCACAACATTCGCTCGCCCAATAATATTACTATTCCAACGAACTTTGGAGCATAATGTAGACAAGTTTACCATCATGCATTCATAAACCAAATATGGTGAAAGAGACGGATAGAGGGATCAAACAAGAGCACAGCCAGAAGACTGTGGTGATATTAGCCCCCCAACATATGTTGAACAAGGGAATTATTTCAAAATACATAAATCTTCTGTTAAAGCTTTCTTTCCCCCCTGAAAGGAAAACTTACTGAAGGTTGAAAGGGGGAGGGATTTTCCTCAGAGTATGTGAAAACTTATGGATGTATTTTATACAACAGATCCGCTAAAGATGCCTCCTTTCAAACATATTCTCATCGCAATGAGTGTCAAGCCACTCTCTTGGGGAGCCCTTTGATCCTGTCGGCATTTTTCCACCCACAAGCTCTCTCAGGTGTTCGACCTTATTCTCGCGACCACTTCCACTGTATCTCCTGTCAGCTTCCTTCAGTTTCTGTCTTAACTTCTGCTTGCGATTATTAGCCGGATTGAGCTCTTGTTGCTTTGATTGTGAAGGAGGAGCGCCGTGAGGTCCAAGGTATAAATTCTCCTCTTTCTTAGACTGCGAAATAATAGTTAGGCAAGGAGATCAATCCAAACTTGAAAGAGATAGCAAGCATTTTGACATAAAAAGTTGTTCTTCTGAGTGGAGAGCGAAAATCCTAAGAGTTAACCTCATCTGAAGATGTCCTTGACTCTTCAACTTCAACAAAATTACTAGTACTATTTTGGCCAGGATCTTCAAGTTCCAAGCTTGGAATTACATATCCTTCAGTGTCTGATGGTCAAAAACATCAAATCAATATGTTAGTTCACATTACATCAAAAGGCTTCGATGTACATTATGAAGTCAAAACATGCTAAAAGGGTAACTTCCAGAACAATTTAACTAAAACAAAACCTTAAATCTAGAGGTGGAGCCGGATATATTAGCAAAGTAATGAAATGGCTGCGCAGGGGGCCAGGATTTGAAGTTCATGGATTCTGAATTTGCCAATGAACTCGCATCTCCTTTTAGTTACTGGGTTTGTAGTTAAATACTTATTCATATTTAATGGATTGTCTAATACAAATATAGTGTCTACGCAAAAGTTACTGGGTTCGTCCGAACCCGTTGGTTCTTCCGTAGCTCCGCCCCTTGACAGACCGAGAATACGTACTTCGATTTTTAAACATGCAGAGACACATACATATTCAAAGACGAGTGCACACAAAGTAGCAAACCTGGCAATTTCCTACCAAAATAAACAGGTATTAAAAACAATCCAGTATAGCAATCGAGCATTTATACAAAGGGAAAAAGCACTAAATCCAGGACAAAGGTCTATACATCCTGTAAACCAAATTTTTATGAATCAAAAAGTTGTAATCTACAGTGAAAAGGATAGATATCTTTCTCCTGCACAACAAAAGCTTTAGCGTAAGTACAGTCATAGCTCCAGATCATTTATGCTATCTTTTTCTTTTATTGGGAATGAATTTATGCTTTTTTCTGTTCATCTAATAATCTTTTTTTATGATTAGAAGTCCACTTTTTCATCTTCGAAACTCAGTAAATAATTGTTCTCTCTTCTACCGCTCTACGCTTAAATATTAGGCTTGGTGCAACAATCAGGTGTCGAACCTGTGATTCATGCCCTCGGTCATATTCCAAATTCCTTCTAAAATTGGGCAACAAAGTATAAAATACCAAAGTCTTCAAAGGATCAATACACACCTAAGCATCTTAAAGACACATAACAGTTAAATCAACCTTTCTAGGGGGATCTTAGTAGCTCAGTTAGTTGGCTACCTGAACTTTGTTAGTGAGAGTTCGTTTCCCTTCCCCCACCCCCAATATAATCAAAAAACAAAAAATCTACCTTTCTAGTGAAACTATACAAAGAAGACACAGATGTAGGATAAGGAATTGTGAATAAAAATTATTCAAGTCAATCCTTTAGTCATCCATATAGGTGTTAAAGGGGCCGGGTTGACCCGGTTCCGGACCGGCCCAGACCGGTTAAACCCGGAACCGGCCCGGACCGGTTAAAGGGGGCTAGGCTGGGTAGGAGGGGTAGAGGGGGTTGGTCCGTTTAGAATTTTAAAACGGGTAACCGGACCGGTTGAACCCGGTCCAATGAACAGTTACACTTACCGGGTTAACCGGCCCGGTACAACGG